GGCAGGAGGGTGAGGCACTGGCATCACCCACCTCCAGCCCCTCAGGGGGACTCCCAGGGACCATGGGCACCTTTGGGGGCAACGGGCACCTCTGGAGGTGGCAGATATCACCTTGTGGGGTGATGGGCACCTTTGGGGACAGCAGGCACCTTTGGGAGTGTTGGGCACCCTTGGAGGCGGCAGGAGGATGAGTTAAAGCAATCCTTGGAGCCTTTCCCTGGGGACAGAGGGGCTCAGCCCACAGCCAGGGGGTGGCCCAGACAGCTGCCAGCCTTGGGGACAGGAGGTGCTTGGTGTAAGCCAGGAGGAATCCACCAGGACCTGGCCCCTCCTGCCAGGTAAGCCCAGCCAAGCCCCCCACCAGTGATCCCAGGGGCTGCTGGCACAGCCCTTCTCCTTCCCTGGAGATTCCTCCTGGATCACACCCCATGGGCTGCTCACCTCCAGCTGCTGGGGCTGAGGGGATGGCACAAGGGGGCAGCCCCAGCCTGGGGAGGGACGGGGCAAACCTGCAGGACACAGGCCAGGGCAGGCTCAGCAGCGGGGGACGGCTACAGTTTGGTCCAGGTTTGGGTGGCTCCCTGGAGGAGTCACAAAAGAAAGCTCAGCAAGGCTGCCCCTCCTCCCACAGGACTCCTCAGGGCACCTGGGCACAGGGCAGCCCCCAAAGGTGCATCAGTCCCTTCCCTGCCTGGGCACCTGAGTCCCAAGGAGGGTGTGAGGGGCTGGAGGGAACGGCTGTGTCCCCATTGCAGACCTCGAGCGGCTGCTGGGCCGGAGTCTCATACAATCAGAAAAGAAGTCAGCACAGCACAGTCATCACAGAGTACAAAAAAAACCCAAAACCAGGGCCAAGGCGCAGGGCCGGGCCCCCCCAACCCACACAGGGCGTTCCACGACGGATCTATGTACAGCGAGTCCTCGACAGAAGAGAAGGCGAACAGAAAGCCCTAACGCCCAAGCCAGCGTGGGGAGGAGANCAGCGGGAAACCCCCACTGGGGTCACCTCACACCGGACTCTTCACATCCGCACCGAGCACGGGCACGGGGCACAGGCACCTCGCCTGGGGGTCACGTCACACACAGCGCTGGCACTTGGCACTGACACCAGGGACTGCCAGCAGGCGCCTCATACTGGGCACTGATACTGGGCACCAGCACCAAACACTTCACGTCCATCACCTCGCACTGGTCACGCACGCTGTTCCCTCCTCACCAGTGACCTTGCCCAGATCGCCACCCGCCAGTCACCGACCACTGCCACCACTGCCACCACCGCCGCCACACGGACCTGCCAGGCCCTGCTGCGGCCACAGGACAGTGGCGCTGGGGGCAGCTGTGGTGGTGGCACCTCCATCGTGCCTCCCCCCACATCCAGAGGGCTCCTGGGAACCCAGGTTTGGTTTTAGAGCCGAAACGTGAGGAAAAAGCTGATGGGATACAAGCGAGGAGCCCGGGTGAGGAGCAGAGAGCAGTGTGGGGACAGTTTTGCCCCTGCTGTGGGATCCCCTTTCCATCACCGGAGTCTCCAATGGGAAAAGGGAGCCCTTGGACACTCCTTACTCCCCATACATAAGCCAGGACAGGGGCCCTGTGGGTTCACCTGCTGTGTCCTCCATTCCAGCAGCCCCTGGTCCCAGTGTCGCAACCAGAGCGTCTGAGCTACACAGGGAGGCACCGGCTGCTCCAGGAGAGGTGGTGCCTGGAGCAAGGAGGGCATCCCGAGGTTCCAGCTCAGCTGGGAGCTGCACCGCCCAAAACCTCTGCATACCCTAGTTTTGCTGCAGCAAACCCCTCTCCCAGCCTTGCACCAGCCCCTCTCAACATCAGAGAGCCAGGCAGGAGCTCCCAGCGGATACCGGGGCAGGGGAAGGGCCCTGCATGGGGCCATATCCCCACTGCAGCACCCAGGCGTGCTGGTTGCCCGAACCGAACCTTGCCCATCACTCTTGAAAAGGGCGCTGAGTGTTCCCAAACGCTGAAATGGAAGCGTCAGCATCGGCCCCGTGTGGTCCCTCCGCATCCCCCCACCCTCCATGGCTCAGACCGATTGCTCTGG